ATGAAGTGTGAGGAGCTGCTGAGGAGGGGACCGAGGTGCTCCAGGTCCCGTCCAGCCTGGACACTCCCAGGGATCCGTGGAATCACCACCCTCCCGGAAACAATTCCTTCTGGATATAAATGTATAAATACGCGTCCTGTATACCAACAGGTGAATAAATACGGTGCAGACGAGCTCCCTGAGCCTCTGGGAAATGCCTCTGGGATCACTGGCTTTTATTATTTTGACATTTTAGGGACGTTTTGTGATCAGTTTGAGGAGGAAAGAGAGAGAAGTGGTGACTAAGAGGTCAGAGGTAACAATTGTTCTGAAGGAAAAAAAAAAGGTCAAAGAATAAACAGACCATAAACCTCTTTTACTTTTGGAAATGAAATTTTATTGTTTTGGAGGCTGTCACATGGGTGAAAAGCAGCAGGAATCACTCCCAGCCTTATGGAAAGCAACCTGAGCTGGGTCTTGCCTGCGGAGCAAATTAAACCGAATAGGAGCAAAACCAGGAACCAAATTCTAATAGCAGATGAAGAATTCAAGGATCAAATCAAAAATGCGAATAAAGAGCCATCGATTGAAGCTTTAGGCAGGGAGAGCACCCAAGGCAGGAGCGATCCGGTGCATCCCGGAGCCGGATCCTGCCCTCAGTACTTGGGGTACGACGGTGGCAGCTTGCAGATGTTCTTGGTGACCTGGGGACAGACCGGGGGGCAATAACGCTGCACCGGGGGGCAGCAGGGCTGCACCGGGGGGCAATAACGCTGCACGGGGGGGCAGCAGGGTGTCACGTAGCTGAACTTCTGCACGGGCTGCCTCTGGATGGTGTAGTGGCAGGAGGAGTGGGACTCATGGCACGAGGTCTCGTGGCTGTGGCAGGACCCGCGGGAGCACATGGTGGGGCAGAGCTGGAGGGAAGAGAGGAGCGGTCACAGCGGGCACGAGCTTATAGACATTTGCTCTGGGATTCCCCATTTTCTTCCTAATTTCCAGTGAAATTCGGGGGTGAGAAAGTGGGGTCAGTGTTGTTGGGAGAAGCTTTAATCCCTCACTAAACACAGAACCTTTTATGGGTGGGACTCGATTTCCAGAGAAAAATTGGTCCAAATATCCATTTCCCAAGAGCCCTCTGTCTCCTCCCGCTTGGAAACCTCCCAGTCCCTTTCCCACAAAACCCTGTGGCTTTCCTGTCTGTATTTTCTACCCTTTCTGTAGTTTTGGTATAAAAAGGCTCTGCTTGAAGCCTTTATTGTCATTTCTTTAATAATTTGCCCTTGTGGGTAACAAGAACTTGGTCTCCGGCATGGCCAAGATCCGGCGGTGAGGAGGGAGCATCCAACACTCCAGTTCTACCCAGACTGGTGGGAAAACATCCAATTCCCTAAAGAAACTCCAGGGAAAGAGGAAAATCGGACTCACCCTTCAGCAGTGGGGATGGAGCTGTTTTGGAGCAGAGCAGCGAGTGAAGGGAGCCGGGATTGGAAACCTTTTATACTTTTCCACAGGGTTATCTGGGACACGAGGCATCCCTAATTACAGATCCCAGCCCATTTCTATCCGCTGTGTTCAGCTTCCCGTGTTCTCCCTTTGATGCTCTGTGCTTCTAGCATTGTAATTATTAATAGCTCATTAATTCCTTCACCTCCCTATGAAGGAGATTGGAAGGAATTTCACGTGAAGTGACGCCAGCCCCGGCACCAATGGATCTGCTCGTGGACAGTGTGGAGCGGGCAGAAGAGGTGATTGTGATCCAGAATTCCTCAGGGTCACGTGGATCCACGTGATCCACCTCCATGTGAAAGAAAAATTACTGATGTTAATCCCTGGGGATTGGGTTCAGGGCAGGAATAATCCAGAGGAATTGCCCAATGGGGCCGGATATCTCAATGAGAGATTTGCATTAGCCCAAATCTGTCCTTTAGTGATAATTCCAAACAATGTGGCCCAGCAAGGACTTCTCCTCCAGGTGCCCACCAAAGCCAAGGTCACAGGTTCTGCCACCAAACCTTCTCCAGGATGGGTTCCTGTCCATGGGGTCACAGGTTCTGCCACCAAACCTGCTCCAGGATGGGTTCCTGTCCATGGGGTCACAGATTCTGCCACCAAACCTGCTCCAGGATGGGTTCCTGTCCGTGGGGTCACAGGTTCTGCCACCAAACCTGCTCCAGGATGGGTTCCTGTCCATGGGCTGCCACCTCTGTGGATCTCCATCCACCACAACCTGGCCAAGCAAACCCAGGGGCTGTTTTAATCTGTGTTTGTGACGTGGTGTTTGGGGCAGCAGTATCAAATCCCAGGACAGGCTGGTTCGAGGTGAACAGAATCCCAGATTTCCAGAATTGTTGATGTTGGAAAAGATCTCCAAGACCACTGAGCCCAACCTTTGGCCAACCCCCACCTTGTCAAGCAGACCAGGGCACTGAGTGCCACATCCAGGCATTCCTTGGACACCTTCAGGACAGCCCAAGTCCTGCTCACCCTCCCAGAGGTGTTTTGGTTGTTTTCTCTTCTGATTTTACTCAGATTTTATTTTTATTTTAGCTGGGACAAAGTGCCGCTGTTGCTGTCCTGAATGATTTCAGGGATGATGAGACGGGGACGAAGCTCAGGAGAGGCATAAACACAACGATGTGATGTAGGAGACACCTCAGAACCTGGGTTTTCCCAATGCCCGGGTACAAGTCATGCCCGTCTGACCCATCAATTACATCTTCTGGTCCCATAAAAGGCAGGAATGTGTCAACATTGGGATGGCACCGGGGATTAGGCGTGAGGCACGAGGGATTTGGGGATGATGCTCTGCTGACTCACCGGGATCCCTCAAACTGCTCCACTCACAGCTGAGCTTCGTTATCCCAGAGCACAGAACGAACCCGTGGACGATTCCCTGCCAGGTTTGGGTCAGGCAGCACTTAAGGGATTTTTGGCCACGTGTGGGAGGGGATTTGCTGTCATGTGAGAGAGGTGAGGAGGGAAAAATGAAAAAAAAAGGGTGTCAGATGGAACTGGGGGATGAAACAGAGATGTCTGAGGTCATGAGAGGGCAAAGCCCCCATTCTCCTGGAGTGGCTCACTGTGGAAGCTTCCAGCTCCGGGAAGGGTGGGATGAGCAGCTGGAGCCGAGCAGCCGCTCCCTGCTTTTGGCCGAGGGGGTTTCACCAATGGCCTGGAACATTGTCAGGAAATTATCCACAGATTCTGTGTTTGCACACCTGGCTTGGCTCTGCCTCAGCCGACCTGTGCTTGCTGTGAACAGTGCAAGAGGGAGAGGTTTTCCCTGGAATATTTCTCCGTGGGGATTCAGCACCTTCGCTGCTGTGGCCTTTGTGGGAGGAGGAGGAGGAGGAGGTGGGGACAATTTCCTGCTGGAATTCTGCAACCTTCCCTGCTTCACTCCGCAGATGAGTGCGGAGATAACAGAACTCCAGCTCTGTTGGATGATTGGAAAGATTCCCATCTTTCCTTCCGTGAAGTGACACAACCTGGATGGCTCCGGCTCAGCCGGGAGCGTGGGTGAAACCTTGGATTGCTTGGAAAGGATTCATATTCGGAGATTTAATCTTCCCACAAAGGTTTTCAGTCAGAGTCCAGCCCAGCCTGGAGCCTCTTGTCTGGCGGGGTTCCAAGCCCTGTTGGCACAGGTGGGTTTGGCACTGCCGGGGACTGGCACCGCTCCACGTCCCCGTGCCAGGCTGGAGCCGCACCTTCCCGACCCCGACCTTCATCCCTCGCTCCTGCCATCACCGACCTCACACCTGGGACTGAGGCTCCTCGTTATTTTAATCAAGAGCAATAATTAAGCGGGTGCTAATAGTACGTTTTCTTGCTGCTTTCAAAGGTTGGGCACAAAGCCTTGGCTAATTAAATGTCTCGTGCATTACACAGGGTGCTGCTCTCGTCCCACAGAGCCACCGATGCCTGCAGCAATCGGCCTGGTGGGTTCTGGGAGCGAGCCCAGGCACGGCTCTGCTGTGGTGAGAAATCCGGATTTTCACGGACGTCTGTTCATCTGAAATTCCATTTATTTTTTTTTCATTTCATTCATTTTATTAATTTCATTCCTTTCACATCTATAAGAGGGACTCAGAACTTTTATGGTTTAAGTCGGTTTAAACCTGGGGAGGAGCTGGGAATGTTTTTTCTCACTCGAGAGAGATGTTGAGGGGCTGGAGTGCATCCAGGGAAGGGAACAGAGCAGGGGAAGGGGCTGGGGCAGCAGAAGAAGGGTCTGGAAAATTCCTGGGAGAAAAGGAAGCTCAGGGGGGACCTTCTCCCTCTCTCCAACTCCCTGGAAGGAGGCTCAGGTGGGACATCAGGAGCAATTTCCTCGTGGAAGGGGGATCAGACCTTGGAAGGGGCTGCCCAAGGAGGTTTGGAGGTGTCCAGGGAAAGCCTGGAAGCGGCACTCAGTGTCCTGGGCTGGGTGAGAAGGTGGGGATCAGGCACAGCTTGGACTCAAAGGTCTCGGAGAGCTTTTCCAACCTCGTTTACTCTGGGATTTCCTCCAAGGAACACAGACTCTCGATGGGATTTTCAAAGACTCTCGATGGGATTTTCAAAGCAGGGAGAGTCCCCTCGCAGAAAAGACCAATCCAACCCCAAATTCTCCACTTAGAGGGGTCAGAAGGGACACTGAGCAGGACGTGGTCCCTCCCCTGCTCCTGTTTACGGAGATCTGGGATTTCCAGACTTCCCAGACGGACTCTGCTCCGTGCTCACCAGCCATGAACAAATCGCAAACCCTTCGCAAGGTGCCTGTGAGGGTGGGAGGCTCCAAGCCAAGGGCTGGGGTTACAGAGATGCTGATCTGCACCTGCAGCCCCAGACAGCTTTTGAAATCAGCCTGGCAGGTGCCCAGGGTGTGGGGACTGCAGAGCTGAGCCATCCCAGCCACTGGAATGCCACGGGAAGGGGTGGAAGCTGTGGAAAGCAGCTCCCCTTAGCCCAGACAGGCTTGGGAACGATGCCAAAGATAAGGAAAACCAGTGGAAAAACACCAGGACGCCAGCACGTTTGATGAGCTTTAGGTTTTAATATCACACCTTTGCTACTGGAGACAGGAGCAGGGAATGAAGAGATCGGAATTCCCGCGCGCGCGGGGGAAAAAATCCCAATTCCACCGCACTAATGCCACTCGGGGTTCTCAGGAGGAGGGAAGGGGCCGGAGGGATGAGGCAGGGCCTGTCCAAGCTCAGGGGACAGGGGACAGGAGCAGCTCCGGGCCCTTCACTTCTGCTGCTGCTGCGGCGGCCACTGCACCGGCTGCTTGATCTGCTGCTGCTGCTGCTGGCACGGAACCTGGGCCAGGGGCACCTGCCCCGTCCCGGTGGCCACCGGGCACTGCGGGGTCAGCACCACCACGGGGGTCACGTCCGGCACCGGGGTCACCTCGTGGCACACCACCCCCTCGGAGCCGTGGCAGGAGCGGTCGCTGTCGTGGCAGGAGGAGCTGCCGCCGTGGCAGGAGGAGCTCTCGGAGCTGTGGCAGCCTCTGTTCTCACGGGAGCACATTTTTGGGCTGGTCGGAGGGAAGGTTGGAAACCTGGAGGGGAGAGAAGTTTGGCATTAGATGCGGGGAGGGTACCGTTGCCATCTCTTGCCCTGCCCAGCAGGGCCCAGCAGGATTTGCCTTTCTGCCCATCCAGTTTCCCCAGTTTGGGGCTCCATTCCCACAGTTCTGGATCAGCCTGGACCATCTGGACACCCTCATGAGTCCCCTCAGCAGCCCCGGCCTCTGTTCCTGCTGAGTTCCACGAGCTGTTTCCCTGTTCTTCCTTGAGCCATTTCCCTGTTATCCTTGAGCCATTTCCCTGTTATCCTTGAGCCATTTCCTGGCTATTTTTGAGCCATTTCCCTGTTCTTCCTTGAGCCATTTCCCTGTTCTTCCTTGAGACATTTCCCTGTTATCCTTGAGCCATTTCCCTGTTCTTCCTTGGCTGCATCCCGGGATGCTTCCGGAGGAGCTCTGTGTGATGCTGGGATATCCTGCACCAATAAGAGGCATCTTGGCAAGAATCCCAAAATCTCGTAGCCTTGAGGAGCCCTGGCACAGCCAGGACTGGTGCCAGAGCCCTGGAAAAATCCACTTCCAAAGGCAGGTGCCCAAAATAAAGATAAATTCCTGAGCCTTCCCTCCTCCTCGTGTCCTCTGCTCCCTCCAGGCCCCGTTTCCTGAGCATGAGGAAAATCCTCTGTGCACATTCCAACCCCCTTCCAAGGATTGCTGGGATTTCAGGGAGACAAAAGGCATCCGGGATGCTGAGCTGGAAGAGGATCCTGCTGCTCCTTCCTCTCACAGTTTAAATCCGCCTTCTCCTCTCTTTCCTAAATTTCTTCAAGGACGTTTTAATACTTTCAGCTCCTGAATGTTTTCCAAAGGAGCTTAGTAAAGGAGTCAGGCTTATAAATGCAATTAAAATTCCCAGCTTAACCCCAGGGGTTCTTATGGAAGATCAGCCTGCTGTCTCCCATTCATCCCCAGATCCCATCCTTTGCTTCCAGTCATTTCCAGTTTGTCCTTTGGATACTGGAAAGCATCAAAATATAACTACGGGTAATAAATTTTACTTCTCAGCGCAGGCAGCTGTAATTTTCGGGAGCACAAAGCAGCCCCAGCCACAGAGCCAAGGATTCGGCTCTCAATAACCCCAGGAAATGCCCCCAGAGCAAAGCCCAGCTGAGTGCAGGGAATTTTCATTGGAATTAAAGGTTAGCGGTGGAGCAGGGACTCACCTTGGCTGTGAAGGCTCGGGAGGAGGAGCGGAGCTGAGTGAATGAGCTGCTCTCCCCTCCAAGGACTTTTATACAGTTCCCAAGTCCCTTCCTGAAAATGCAATAACCCCCTGGGGAAAAATGACCAAGGTATTTACAAAACAGCCACACCCCTAATTACCCACCACCTTCAAAAGCTTCTTCCACCCGGTTTCTTTGATTGACTTGTCAGGTTCTGGATTGTCTTCCTCGTCTTACACAGCTTTAATTGCACCCTGCCCCTGGCGGGCTCTGAGTGAAAACCGTGTGGGCGGCTCGGCTGTCTCACCCTCACGGCGCGATGAGTTTTAGGTTGCAAAATGGATGGCAAAGGTGGTGAGTTTTGGGGTTCCTGTCCTCCCAAAACCTCTCACCTGGAGTCTGGCAGGAAGCAGAGGTCCCGGTGCCCAGCCCTCCCTGACTGGTCTTGGTAGGGCCGGGCTCTTGTGGAGAAAAACCACCATTCTCAGGTGCTCACTGTAGAAAATGGTAAATTCTTAGAAAGTCTTGGTTGGACGTCCTTGGAAAACATCCCTGAAGTAATTTTCACCCCTGAGACACCTGCAGAAACCGAGCTGAGGGTCCCCTCTCTGACAGGGTCATTTCCCAAAGGAACAAAACCAGGAGGATGAAGTCTGTGGCCACTGTGGGAGGCTCTGGCTGGGAAGTGACCTGGCAAACCCAGCTGGTGGCACAGGCCACTCTTGGAAGTGTTGGCTTCTACCTGTGAATCCCTCCAAAAATGTTACGAGGTTTCCTCAACGTGAGGGAGAACTTCTTGCCGTGGAGGGGGGCAGAGCCCTGGAGCAGCTGCTCAGGGAGGGCCTGGAGTGTTCCCCTCTGGAGTCACTCCAAACCCTCCTGGATGTGTCCCTGTGTCACCTTCTCCAGGTGGCCCTGCTCCCCAGCTGCTCGGGGATTCTGTGATTGTGAGATCCGGGATTTTGAGATGCTGTGGTTCCACGGTTCTGTGATTCCCTACCTGTGTCCGTCTGCTTCCCACCTAATTTTATGGCCATTCCACCATCGCTGACTCAGCCACCACCAATTTTCATCGCTGGCATTTTTCCTGGCCAGCCCCAAGATGCCCCACACAGAATTTCTCTTTGAAAATTCGCATTTTACTCAATTTTACTCTGTTTTATTTGAGGGGGTCTGGAGGGGTGATGGGAAATCGGTGCCTACGGAAGGCGCTTGCACAAACCTTGCACCCGTGAGTAAGCTGTGAGTAAAATGCTGGGTCAGAGACCACGCATCCGAGCTCCCCACGCATCCCGAGCTCCGCCGGCTCTTCCCTGGGGCGGGATGGGAGCATCTGGGTGCAGATCCCCGGGATGGCGCAACCATGGATGCAACCACGGCTTCGCAACATCCCCGGTTTCCCGTTTTCCCTCCCGTTTCCGGCCTGACCATGGAATTCCAGCAGGACTCCTGATGTGTTTTCACTCATTTTCCACCTCCACTCACGGAGCCGCGGAGGTTTTGTTGGGCAGAGATCCCCTGAAGCCGAGGGGTGGCTCCCGTTTGCTATCACTGAGACAACTCCTGGAGTTTCTATCCAGAGGCGCCAGCTGGAGACTTTCATCCAGGAGCCAGACCCGTGTTTACTGCTCAGCCCAGCTCACCAACAGCTGCAGGAGGGGGGCCTTGGTTTAACAAGCACCGACAGGTTCGGGATGAGTCCTGGCTTATCAGAGCTGGGGATGAGTCTTGGCTTATCAGAGTCGGGATTTGCGATGTGTTATCTTTGGAGTGAGTTCCTCAGAGGATGACTCGTCCCTGCCCTGTTGCACAAGGAAAGGGGAGGAAACCTCGCTGTGCCAAGGATAAAACCCAGCCTCGGACTCCTCCCAGCCTCGGGATGGAGCTGAGCTCTGGGGAGGGCGGATCAGCTCCGGCTCCTCGTCTCCAACCTCTGGATGTAAACCTGTTCGCCCTGGGTCTATTAAATATTGAACCACCCCAGCTTGGGGAGTGCCCTTTGAAAGGAGCCTCAAGAACCAGGGAAGAAGAAATGGGATTTTGAAGTGTTTCCAGTTTTCTTTCTTTTGGGAGGGACTGAAATTTTGAGGTGGTTTTCGGTCAGTTGGATAAACACAAATATTTGAAGGATCTGGGCTTGGTTTTCTGGAATTCTCTGGGAATTTGTTTGAGCACTGAGATAAACACAAATACTTGAAGGCTCTGGGCTTGGTTTTCTGGAATTCTCTGGGAATTCGTTTGAGCTTTCAGAGTTTTTTTTGCTCCCTTAATGAAGGAAGGAACCCCATGGAAATATCAATAATGCAGTGGTAGATTTTAGAAACACAAATAAAAGCAAATAAATGATAACGTGGCCTAATTTTAGAATGGAATTTAATAGGGCATCGTGACAAAATCTTGTGTAATTGTCCCCACATGATGATCTTGCAACACTTTATGAGTGAAGGATCCTGTGGCATCAAACACGGGTTTAGACCTCAGAAGATTTGGGTCTTTGGTGTTTCAAGGCAAAGTTTTCTGGATTTTGGGGTCAAAACCCCACCAGGTGGGTGAAAGCAGAATGGTAAAAAACAAACAATCTGCTTTTTTTTGTCTCACTTTTAAATGGACCCAGATCCATTGTGTTTTGGTTTTGTTGTTGGTTTTTTTTTTCCCCCTTCCTAACAACTATTTGGATGAGTCAAACAACCCCAGAGAAGAGTCCTGGAAGATTAAATGTTGGGCAAACCCCACGTCCCAACCAGCACCGGCACCGTCCTCTCCCTGTGCTTAATTTAGGGCCTGATCCTATCAAAAAATGCCAGGAGCAGGTTCTGGGGTGGGAGCCAAGGAGCTCGTTGGAGTTGCCTCATTCTACGTGCTCGGGGTTACGCCATCCTGGCAATCTCTGGGACAGGAGGCGGGAATTGCTGCCAAATAAACAACCTTTCACTCCCGAGGTCACGCTGTAAATAATAATCAGTCGGAAATCCCCCAGGAGATTGGTGGATCTCGTTAATAAGGGGGATCTCGTAGGGTCCGGGTTCCTTGGGGTGGGAGCAGCATCTCCAGCGAGAGCCAGGTTAAGATTCCCAGAATTCTGGAGTAGTTGGGGTTGGAGGAGACCCCTGGAGATCTCCCAGACTCCACTTTCTCTCTCTGTTGAAAATGATGTATTTTTAATTGTATTCATATAAATGTTACATTCAAATTGGGTGTAAAATACATACGAAGAAGGTCCTTTGTGTTCTGGGGATTCCTTGAGGACACATTTGCATTTTGAGTGAAGGAGCCAGAAATGAAAGAAACTGTCCCAATATTGAAACTACCCACACACTGTGAGGTTTTATTTTCTGTCCCATGATCCAAAGGAGATGGAGAAAAGAATCTTTTCCCATCACCACGGCACAAACCCTTTTTTCCAGCAGTTCTGGGGGGACTGTTGTCAGCACAGCCCCACGTGAGGAATGCGATTTAGTGGCGTGGTCAGGGGGAAATTCCATTGTGGCACATCCAGGGGCACTTTCGGGATGTGGGAAAGGCTGGGCCAGTCACTTCTTCTGGATGGGGGGCCAGTGGGTGCTCTGCTTGCACTGCTGGGTCTTGATGGTGGGGACAACCACGGGGCACTTCTGCTGCACCACCTGGGCGCATTCCCCGCCCGCAGGGCTGAGCTCTGGGCCTGGGAATGTCCCGGTTCCATATCCCCCGTAGTACCCCGACCCCTCAGCGACGCCCCCCGTGCTCAGGGTGTCCCTCAGGGGTGCGGTGTATCCATACCCAGCCCCTGCTCCCCCAGCCATTCCCAAATCCCCTCCGTGGTGGATGGATGCGCTGCCCAGGGCAGGAGCCGCGCCCTCTCCGCTGTACCCCGCTCCCCCTCCGGAGCCATAGACCGGGACCGTGCCCACCGTCACATCCCAGCCAGACGAGACCCCACAGTCCCCGCTGGCCACCACGAGGGACCCGTCGGTGTCACACGAGAAGCCCCCCGAGATGCTGAAGGGGGCTGGCGCCGGCCGGGGCGGGCAGGGCGGGGGTCTCCGGCTGTAGGTGACCGAGCCCTCCCGGCCGCAGGAGAAGGAGGCGCGGCCGTGGTGGTTGGAGAAGCTCCCGCTGCAGAAGCCGCGGTGGCTCAGGGAGATCTCCCGGCTGTAGCCCCGGTTCCGCCGGGAACATTTCCGCCGGAGACAGTGGTAAAGCTGGAAGAGGAAAGGAAAACACCCAAACTTGAAGGGTTTTGCTTCGTGCTTGCACCAAGGCTGGTGGTGTGGCCAGGAAAGCTTGGCCAGGGACTGGGGCGATTCCAGGCTTTGAAACAAAGTACTGCTGAGCTGTTAGAGAATCACGGAATTGTGGAGTGGTTTGGGTTGGGAAAGACCTTAAAACTCATCCAGTGCCACCCCCTGCCATGGCCAGGGACACCTTCTGCTAGACCAGGTTGCTCCAAGCCCCTATTCTTCAAATCCAAGGATATCTGTACTCTTCCAGGGATAGCTTTCCTCTTTCTACCTCTATTTCCAGAGCATCCCAAAGCTGAAATATATTCTGAATCCAAAACCTGAAATATAAATTCTGAAATAGATTATTTTCCCCTCTAATAACTGCCATTCCCCCGCTCATTTTCGTGTCCACAGACACAGAGCTTCAAAAATCCCGGGGATCATCCTCGTTTCCGTTTCTCAGTTGTTGCAAGAGCGAAGGATCAAAGTTTCCACCCTGGCTCTGTTACTGCAGCCCCAAAATTCTTTTATAGAAAGTGATTGGCTCGGACACAGAGGTTCGTGGCCATCCTGAGGTCCAGCTCAGGGCTGTTATTAATTAATATCAAAAACGTGTCCTGCACATTCAAACACACAAAGGTTGTGCAGTCCCCACCGCAGATCCCATCCGGGTTTTTACCCTGCTCATCCCTCTGAATCCCGGTCTGGTGCCTTGATTTCACCTTTCTCCCCAGGATTGGACCCAGAACCGAGCAAGAACCCACCCAGATCCCGAGGATTTGTCTCAGGACGAGAGGTCCCGCTGCCAGCGCCAGCCGAGGTCTCAAATCAGCTGCATCCCGAGACTAGGAAATGATAAAATCCCAGAAAAAAACCCCAGACTTACCCTCTTCAGCCATCGGAAACACATTTAGGAGGTAAAAGTCGACTGAATGAGTTGCTTTAACAGCCTCGGGAACATTTATATGGCGTTTAACATGTATGGGAAGTGAGACACCCTCGGGAATGAGAAGGATTTATTTACCAAACTGCGATTTCAGTGTTTGCTTTGACTCCCGATCCATATCTCCCTTCACACCGCTCATTTCGCTGCTCTAATTGTTACTTCTGCCTAATGAGCCGATTCCTGTGCCCCTGCCCTGGGCTACGCAGGAATCCTCGGGCCCCCAGCCCCGGGAGAGGTGGGTGGGGATGTGGGAGTAGGAGAACGCACAAGGGGAAGAAATGCTGGCGGTGCTCTGGTGACGAGCTGAGCCCTCCCTGCTGCCTCCAGGGAAAGTTGTTTGTTTTTCACATTTGCATATGAACCAGAAGGTCTTTAGAAGTGATTGATGCCCTAAATGGGTGTTTTGCAAGAGTGCTAGAGGTGCTCTAAGGGAGTTTAAACACGGAGCTTGCGGGATGTCCCGATGCTTAAACCCAGCCGTGCTGGATTTGGCTTCAGTGAAGGATTTTGGCACCAAATCCCTCCCTTCCTTCTTTTTCATCTCCTTCCTCTGGTTTGGAAGGAGCACCTGGGCCTGCAGGGAGGCTGGAGGGGGTTGCAGATCCCGGCTGCTCCAGCCCGACCCCCCTGAGCAGCTCTGGGGTCTGCTCAGCTCTGGGGAATGTCACTTTGGGGACAGAGTCCCAGTTTTGGCCGAAACCCCAATCCCGGGCAGAAATCCGTGCGTGAGGCTGTCGGGACAGGGTGCAAAGCCTGGGAAGGGAGGGATTTGGGGACGGGAGGAAGATTTGGAGCTTCCTGAGGGATTTGCTGCTGGTTTTATTCCCTCCTGCCTGGCCCGGGGCTGGGTTGGCTGGTTGGAAGGTGAGGCTTCCCTCTGGGTACAGATCATGGAATTCCAGAATCCCTGAGGTTGGAAAAGCCCTCCCGGACCATCGAGCTCAGCCTGTCCTCGCTTTGTCATCCATCCTGGAGCCCTGAGTGCCACCTCCAGCTCTTCCTTGGGCACCTCCAGGGATGGACACTCCAAACCTCCCCGGGCAGCCCCATCCAAGGCCTGACCACCCTTCCCACGGAGAGATTCCTTCTGCTGTCCATCCCGAGCCTCCCCTGGCCCAGCCTGAGGCAGTTCCCTCACGTTTGCTGCAGGAAAGGGGAGGATGGCAAGGCCGTGGGGGTTGTCATGGTTTTATTGCCCACCTGTTGGGTCATCCCCAATCCCTGCTATTCCCAGCTGAGCCTGGTGGGCCTGGTCACGTCTCCCATCAGGTCCACAGAGGTGGTCAGTGGGTGCTGGCACCTCAGAAGACGCGGCCTGCACCATGCCCAGGCACCAAAGGGTGTTGGTGCTGTGGTTCCTTTGAATTTTGGGATCTTCTGCTCCTCCCTCACAGAGCCCAGGTGGAAATGAAGGTGCAGAACCTCTGGGACAATAAACAAGGTGGCTTTGGAGCGAAACACCTCATCAGAGACATTTCTACATCCCAAGACTGTGAAATGCAGGTTGATGGTGCAAGAAATTAATTAATTACCAAAATAAAAGTGCAGTTTTGAGCAATTACGACATTTATTGGCTATAAAAAGTGCCTTTGGGAAAGCAGCAGAACATTATCAAAGGCACCCCAACACCAGGAGCGCAGCAGGGGAATCCTGGAGTTCTCACACCAGGATGCAGCATCCAGGGGACAGGAGAAGACACGCTGGGAAGGACCAGGCAGCGGAGCCAGGGCTGGGACACAGAGGTGCCGTGGCAGAGGCTCAGAACCGGAGCTGCCCAGGGCTGTCACTTCTGCTGGCTGTAGGGCCAGTAGCAGCTCTGCTTGCTCTGGTGGGACACCACGCTGGGGATGACAATGGGACATTTCTGCTGGGAGGAGCCTCCGCCGCCACCTCCAGAGCTGATGATGATGGTCTGGCCTGAGGAGCCGCTGCCGTATCCTCCGCCCATCCCATAGCTGGATCCTCCACTGCAGCATCCGGAGGATCCACCACTGCCTCCACCTCCAATGATGGTCTTCCCTCCTGAAGAGCCACCACCGTACCCTCCTCCCATCCCGTATCCTGAAGATCCACCACCACAGTACCCAGAGGAACCTCCACTGCCTCCCCCTACAATGATGCTCTTTGATCCTGAAGAGCCACCACCGTATCCTCCACCCATGCCATAGCTGGACCCTCCACTGCAGCATCCAGAGGAACCTCCACTGCCTCCATCTCCCATTATGATCTTGGTTCCTGAAGACACACCACCATATCCTCCACCCATGCCATAGCTGGATCCTCCACCACAGTACCCAGAGGAACCTCCACTGCCTCCCCCTACAATGATGCTCTTTGATCCTGAGGATCCACCACCGTATCCTCCACCCATGCCATAGCTGGACCCTCCACCACAGTACCCAGAGGAACCTCCACTGCTTCCACCTCCAATGATGGTCTTTGATCCTGAAGATCCACCACCGTATCCCCCTCCCATGCCATAACCTGAGCACCCTCCACTGCTTCCCCCTCCAATGATGGTCTTTGATCCTGAGGAGCCACCACCGTATCCCCCTCCCATCCCGTATCCGGAGGAGCCCCCGCTGCAGCAGGATCCACCTCCTCCACCACCAGAGCTGATGATGATTTTGCCGGAGCCCCCTCCGCCCCCGCAGCAGGAGGAGCCCTGGGACTGGTAACTGGAGGAGCCGCTCCCGTGGCAACTGGAGCCCGAGCTGTGGCACCCGCTGGACTGGGAGGACATCCCATGGCAGCCTCCGGAGCTTTGTCTGGAGCACATCTTGGAGCGGTGACCCTGCAAGGAACGGAGCTGTCAGAAAGGAGAACCTTGGAGGTGCAGCTGAGCCTTCCCAGCAGACAAAGAAGGAAGAGCTCCCAGGAATTGTTCCATCTGTCCCATCTTCTGTGGCCCTACAAGGACGGCAGCTTTAAACTCCCTCCCCCTGTGAGACCTGCTGTGACATCCCAGGGAGCTCCCTGCAGGTCACAACAGCTGCAGGAAGCCTCTGCGTGCAGGAAGGTTGGGAACTCTTCCTGAGGTTCGCGCACATGCTCTGGCACGCCTAAAAAATTGTGTGGATCCTTCTGGATGTCTCACACTGACTCAGCAACTGAAAGTTCAGCTTTCAGAGTTCCAGCTGCAACCGTCTAAGGAAGGCAGTTCCGTTGGCACCTCCAGTTGGATTTTGGTGGAGCCACCATGGCTCAAAGAACGCCCGAAAGACAAACTGGTGGAGGGACCTCCCTGCATAAAGGTTCCAGAAGCTTCTGTATCTACGGGCTTACCTTCAGTGCTGGTGGGAACGTCGCGGTGCTCGGTGTTGGTCGAGTGAGGAGCCCTGGGATAGCTGAGCTTTTATACTGGATGTGTTGTGCTCCCGAGGGAAGTGAGACACCCTAAGGAATGCTGAGAGATTTATTGACAGAGCTTGGCCTCAGCTGCCTCCTTCCTTGACTCACTTGCAGCAGAGGTGATGCGAAAGGAGGAGCATCAGCCCCGTTCTGTACCACAGTCGCTAATTCTGGTTAATGATTCCCTTCCGGGAGCCTCGCTCCAAATTTTTGGGGCAAACGACACATCAGGGTCTGTTTTGGGGGTTCCTCAATGTCTTTCTGATGGGCTGGAGCTTCTTGGGCGCTCAGGACAGAGTGGGGACTGAGCAGATGCCAAGCGATGGGGACTGGCGTGAGTTGGAGGCAGAGGGTGATGGAAGGACAGGGATAAAGGATGTGCTTGAGCAGAACCCCAGAGAATTTTGGAGAATTTTCTCCAGGACTGGCAAGATAGGGAGCAGGATCATGCCCATCCTGCTGGGAAAGGCCAGAGGTACCACCCCAACAGAGTTCCCTGCTTTGGGGCTGCCCAGATCTGTGTTAGAGGATGCTGTGAGGGTGACAGTGACAAAAGGGACTTCTCCCTTCGGTCTTTTGCGACCCCAAGATGGAAGCGGCTGTTGGATTTCCATGGAGGTCTGTGCTCAGCTCCAGCTTCCAGGGGTCTCAGTCTCCAGGCTGGAGTGGGGAAAACCTTGAAATACTTCTGCTTTTCAAAGTTGCACTTGAAGGCCATCAAGACCTTGCCCTTGAACTCCAGGACATTAAACACTCCGTCTACCTCAGCAGGAGCCATTTCTGAGGGTCTTCACTGGCCACCCCACCCACACCTGAGCAGAGGAGTCACCTGGATATTGTTCCCTGCTGGAGGATGACAATTTGTCAGCACAGCTGTCCCAACACCAGCTCTGTGTCACGCGTGTTTGGAGCCTGACAGCAGCATCCGCCCTCCCGGGACACTGAGTAGAGGAAGGACTAATAGGGGTTTTAGCTGTGGGGACGTGCGACAGCAGCAGCAAGTCCCAGCTGTCACCATGAACGTGACTTTGAACACACACACGCGACACCCTTGGGATGGGGACAGGGCCACCAGCACCGGGGACACACGTGCAGGGGCTTCCTTCGTTCGGCTTTGGAGTCCCTCCCGTGGCTTTATCTCTGTTCTCATCTCCAGATCTGAGGTGTCACTGCTGTTCTGGCTCCCAGCTCTGATGTGTGGGTGTTGTACTCCTGAGGATCTCAACACCTTGATCCCTTCCGTGCCTTCAACCTGTAGGGACTTGCCCAGAGGGACACTCGGGATTAGCTGCTCATTGGCACAGAGGGACACCCAGGATGAGCAGCTTGTCCTGACCCAGGGATGAGGAAACACCGTGGAGGTTTCTGGAAGGGTGCTGAGAGGAGCTCCTGCAAACCACAGAGTGTGGAGAGCCCAGGGTTGGACCTCCTGGAAGCACTGGGCCTGGAGCACATGGATTTGTTAGCCAGAGGTGTAGGAAAAGCGTGGCTGGAAGCGCAGCTGCCGGAAGGGTTGGCCCTACCACAACCTCTCCCAGGTCAGGGAGAAATTTGGATATCTGTGTGGGGTAAAGGGAAATGGGGATGTGAAAGGCTTTGGGGCCATCTTCTCAGTTTTGTGACGCTCTGATGTCCCTGCACCCCTCGGGAAGGGCTGGCAGGTCATGGTACCTCTTCATCTCCTCACTGCAAACATCTCGGCGGGTGGTTGATACGAGAAGAGGACAAATCCCTGGCCAGATCCTACAGCACTCTCGATCCCTTTCCCACCAGATTCCCTCACACACAGTGATGCTGACAACGTGGGGTGTGACCCTGGAGAAGAACTCTCCAGAACTCTGTCAGTCGTGATCCCTCAAGAGTTTCATGGCCGATGATCCCTTTAATTCCTAATTTTGTTTCCTCCCTACCAGGTGTGTTTGTGAGATGAACAAAACCCCTCTGGGTTTAAAAAGTTTACTGGAGTCAAGACTAATCCCAGCTGTTCCAAAGAGGACTTTGGGAGTCCTTTGGGAGAGGATTTTCCCCCTTTGAGAGGAAAGCCAGCTGTCTCTGGGCTGCATCCAAAGGAGAGCGGGCAGGATGGTGAGGGAGGGGTTTTCCCCTCTGCTCTGCTCTGGTGGGATCCCACCTGGAATGCTGTGTCCAGTTCTGGTGTCCCCAACATAAGAAGGACAAGGAATAGTTGGAGCAAGTCCAGGGGAGGCCATGGAGTTGATAAAAGGATTGGAGCCCCTGTGGATCCTGGCTGTGAGAGCTGGGAATGTTCAGCCTGTGGAGGACCCAGAGCCCCTCCCAGGATCTCCAGGGAAGTTGGAGAGGGACATTCCCTCAGGAACTGCAGGGACAGGACACAGGGAATGCATTCATGATGAAAGATGGGAAAATTAGGTTGGATATGGGAAAGATCTGTTGATGAGCACCTGCTCCAGGCTGGAGAACATTTCCCAGCACAATGTTTTGGATATTCTATTCATTTTTGGGAAGCAAACTGACAAAGGACAAACCAGTTGTGTCCGTGCACAGAAATCTTTATTTCCCGTCACATTTATGGCACAGAGGAGCCACCTGGGAGTTCACAGCACAGGGATGCAGCACCGAGGGAACACAAAGGACGGGGATGTGCTGGGAGCAAGCTTGGAGTGCAAAGACTCGGCTGTTCCCGATGGGAACCGGAGCTGCCCAGGGCTGTTACTTCTGCTGGCAGGGCCAGTGGGAGCTCTGCTTGGTCTGGTGGGACACCACGCTGGGGATGACAATGGGACATTTATGCTGGCTGGACTGGGAGGAGCCTCCGCCGCCACCTCCAGAGCTGATGATGATGGTCTGGCCTGAGGAGCCACCACCGGATCCTCCACCGCAGCACCCAGAGGATCCACCACCGCCTCCCCCTCCCATGATGATCTGCCCTCCTGAAGAGCCACCACCAGATCCTCCTCCGCAGCATCCGGAGGAGCCTCCTCCTCCTCCACCGCCAGAGCTGATGATGATCTTCTGGGCTGATCCCCCACTGCCACCACCGGATCCTCCACCGCAGCACCCAGAGGATCCTCCACCACCTCCACCTCCCATCATGCTCTTTGAAGATCCACCACCAGATCCTCCCCCGCAGCATCCAGAGGATCCACCACCACCTCCACCTCCCATTATGATCTTCATCCCAGAGGATCCACCTCCACCTCCACCTCCCATCATACTCTTTGAAGAGCCACCACCAGATCCTCCACCGCAGCATCCGGAGGATCCACCACCGCCTCCACCTCCACCTCCCATGATGCTCTTTGAGGAGCCACCGCTGGATCCTCCACCGCAGCATCCAGAGGATCCACCACCGCCTCCACCTCCCATTATGATCTTCATCCCAGAAGATCCACCACCAGATCCTCCACCGCAGCATCCAGAGGATCCACCACTGCCTCCACCTCCCATCATACTCTTTGAAGAGCCACCACCAGATCCTCCACCACAGCATCCAGAGGATCCACCACCGCCTCCACCTCCCATCATGCTCTTTGAGGAGCCAAGAGGATCCTCCACCACCTCCCATCATGCTCTTTGAAGATCCACCACCGGATCCTCCACCGCAGCATCCAGAGGATCCTCCACCACCTCCACCTCCCATTATGATCTTCATTCCAGAAGATCCACCACCGGATCCTCCACCGCAGCATCCAGAGGATCCTCCACTACCTCCACCTCCCATCATGCTCTTTGAAGATCCACCACTGGATCCTCCACCGCAGCATCTGGAGGAACCTCCACCGCCTCCACCTCCCATCATCTTCCCTCCTGAAGAACCGCCACTGGATCCCCCTCCGCAGCATCCAGAGGAGCCTCCTCCTCCTCCGCCACCAGAGCTGATAATGATCTTCTGGGCTGATCCACCGGAGGATCCTCCACCGCAGCAGGATCCGCCTCCTCCCCCGCCGGAGGAGCCCTGGGACTGGTAACTCCCCCGGCAGCAGCAGCAGCAGCCGCAGCCGCAGCCGCACCCGCTTTGTCTGGAGCACATCTTGGAGCAGTGACCCTGCAAGGAAAAGCTTTTTACTCCAGGGCAGCCACCGATTCTCCTGAGAATTTCCCAAGGCCCGTAACCACAGTCCAGCCCAACACCACTTTCTAGTGTCCAGGATCATCTTTTAAAGATTTTATCCCTTTTATCTCTTCATCCCAAAGCCAATCCGTCTCCATCCCAATGTCTCAAAGACAACCTTCTGCAGCACGGGCTGATCCTGCTTTTGTTTGGTCTGGTGGGACCAAGGCATCCATAAGAGATTTAAATTTATCCCAGCAACTTCCCTGCCCTTCCAGCACCACCCACCAGATGTGTTTTTACCCAAACTTTTGTGTTTTGGAAGCAGGAAAGGAAGAGAAGAATCCCACCCTTGGGCAGACCTGGACTTACCCCTCTCTGCTCTGACCACGGACACCTCAGGGCAAAGCTGAGCGAATGAAGCACCCTGAGATCCACCAACTTTTATACTGTTTTTCCTGAGTGGGAAGTGAGGCATCCAAAGGAATGGTGATAGGTTTATTTACCAAACAAACTCTCCTCCTTCATCCTACTTGTCCTGACTCACTGGATGCGGACGATGCTTCTCCCGTGCATCACTTCCTCGGCTGCCCTGCATCCATGGCAGATCCCACACGTGAGCTCGGCTCCCGTGGTTGAATTCCCAGGTTGGATTCTGGGGCTCCAGCAGGATTCTGGAGGTTGTCAACCTCCACTCCAGCCAGGCGATGCCGCTGGTGACTGACACCAGAAGGGGCTGGGGAGGCTCATTTTGTTGAGTGTTACAGTTTGGAGGCACGGTGGGGGATTGGTGGGGTGTCTGTGCAGGGCCGGGAGTTGGACTTTGATGATCCTTGGGGGTCCCTTCCACCTCAGGATATTCTGTGATTCCACCATCCCGTGACTGTGGAGATTCCCAGGGGAATTCTGGTGTTTCTGGGGCACCAAAGGAATCCCCCATGGCTGTGGGAGGTTTCCCACCACAGCAGTGAAGGGTTGATGAGGATTTTTGTTTGATTCCACCACTCTGGAGAGAGCCGAGGTCAGGCAGGCCCCACCACTTCAAGCGATGGAGGTGGAGGGGTACCAGATCCAACATTCCCCCTGTGCAGCAGCACATGGATATGGACCAAAAGGATGAATTCCTGCCCGTTTTGGGGATGACATTTCTGAAGAAGAAATGGGATTTGAGGCTGTGCAGCGCTCCCGCTGTCACCCTGAGAATTTCTGTAATTTAGATCCTGATTTTCCTGGTCCTGGGTCATTTTTGGGTGCAGGGATTTCTGACAGCACTGTTCCCACCCCCTTGAAGTGGGACCCCAAACTCTGGCTTTGCTCTGTGCCAGCGTTTGTGCAGTTCCAAGCCACTGGAATTCTGGCACCCTCGATGACTTCCCATAATGAAATCCCAGGAAATTCAGCTATTCCAGGGGCAACACTGGCTGGAGGGGCTCATCCGGATGTGTTTGGAGGTGTTTGCCTCACTGAGGTCCCCAAGGGGGAGAGGGCAGAGGGTGGAGGGACAGGAGAAGCCATTACAGCCGTGGGTCACTCTGGTTTCTCCTGGGACAATTCCAGGTGTCCGTCACCTCTCTCCCGTAGAACAGTTCCGAGGTCTAATTCCCTTTCCGTGCTAATTACCAGAGTAGACCACATCAAAGAGATCGCCTCCCACAGGGAAACTCCCTCTGAAGACTCACACCTGGAGCTGTGTTTTAGGCCTGGGGGAATGAGGAAATCCCCAGGTTTTCCAGCCTGAGCATCCCAGCCCTTGGAAGGGGTTGAAGTCCTGGGCTTGGCCCTGATTCCACTGGGAATTCAGAGCTGGAAAAGCGTTGGACAAACCCCCTCATTTCTCTTCCACTTGTGAGAGCACCAGGAGCTTCTTCACCGCCTCGTGAAGCTTCTCTCACCCCTGTGATTGCACCCTGAAATCCTTCCTAGCAGAATTTGGTCATCTTCTCTCTCTGAACCCACTCAGAACTTTCTTGGGCATCACCAGAATTTTGGTGAGGGAGAGACACCCCAGTGATCAACTTTGTGGTACCTTCTCTGGTGGGCAAAAGTTGGCATCATCATCAAGAGACATTAAATAGTGACCTGAGAATATTTAGTGGATCCAAAATCTCTTCTACCCGCTGGGGTTTCAGAGCAGTTTTGCTCTGGAGCTTTATTGCAACAGCACTGGAATCAAAGCAGGGATGGAAATGAAGCCACCAGGGCTGGAAAATCCAACCACTCACACACAAAACTCTCTAGAACTGCAAGTTTTATTGTCTGGTGCAAGCACCTGAAAACTGAGGCACACAGAACGACCCTGGCTGGAATTAGGGATACACAGCACCAGAGGTTCCGGTCAGAACATTCCCAGGGGAAGGGAGAAGAGAACAATGCAAATAATCTTCAATTTAACAGAGGAGGAAATGTGAGGCATCGTCATATCTTGGGCTTCCTTGGTGTCAGAGTCCTTCTGGCAGCCACTACTTGCGCTTGGTCTGTGGTGGCCAGCAGATGGGCTGGGTCTGCTGCTGCATGGACATTCCTCCAGAGCTGGAGGAACCACCTCCACCTCCGCCTCCGCCTCCGCCTCCACCACTGATGATGATGACGGGACCTTGGCCCTGGTGGCCTGAACCTCCTCCTCCTCCTCCACTGCCACCTCCAATGCAGATGGGACCTTGGCCCTGGTGACCTGAGCCACCACCGCCACCTCCTCCTCCTCCTCCACCACCAATGATGATGGGACCTTGGCCCTGGTGCCCTGAGCCACCACCTCCACCACCTCCACCTCCCTTGCCACCCCCACCAATACAGATGGGACCTTGGCTCTGCTGCCCTGAGCCACCACCACCACCACCACCACCACC